TGAGTAATCAATTTGTATACTTTTGTATAACGAAACAATTTATAATGATTTAGGAATCGTATACTTTTTTCTTTTTGTAATATACTTTATTATTACTTTATTATTACTTTATTATTACTATCTCTGTGTGAATTATAATTAATTATCATGAAAAAAAAAGAATTAATTATCATAAATTTATTGTTAAAAAAAGTAAAATCATAGCATTATGTTTTTTTAAAGTTAAATAAATATTTCTAAATATTAAAAACAATTATATATATTTAACTTTCATACCATGTCTATTTTGGTCATTTTACATACCCACAGCAATTCTACATCAAAATTTACCAAACGCTATTACATTGATTTTAGAACCAGCACAGCTACTATAATTACAATTTACCAAACACTCAGCTGATTCTTGTAACAGCAACTTCTTCCTTCAGCACAGCTAAAAGCAATTAATCTAAAATCCGCAGCAATACCAAACTAAGCCTAAGGCCCATTCACTTTGCTGATTCGAGTTTAGAATTCGAGTTGAGATATGATTTTATGTGAGAACTTTTTACTGTAATAAAAAAGTTAACTGTGATTGTTTGTGAGAGCTTTTTACTGTAAAAAAACTCAAATTCTAAACTCGAATCAGCGAAGTGAACAGTGCCTAAGATATTGAAGAAATGTGAGCTCGGTTAGTTCCTGAGGAATTCTACTTGAGAGCTTGTTTGTGGAAAGATCCAATGACTCAAGTTCAGTCAATTGCCCCAAAGATGATGGAATGGGGCCACTGAAATTGTTGCTTGACAAGTTGAGCGCAACCAGTGACCGAAGATTACCTAAAGATCTTGGAATTTCTCCGCGAAATCTATTATTGGAAAGATCAATGCACACCAAGATAGGTAAAATTTTTGAATACGCCAGTTCGTTGCCCAAATCGATCACCGTCACCGGCTCGTCATAACTGATACCACCCATTGCAGGCAAATATGTATTTAAAAAAGTAGTGTATGGCTCTTGATCAGAAGGAGCTTTTGCCATGGATGTCCAATTCTTAAAGAACTCCGATGGTAAAAGTCCACTAAAATGATTAAAAGAGAGGTCGAGAATTTGCAATTCTGCAAACGCCAAAGGTTTGTTTGGAGACCATATAGGACCATGGAATTTATATGATACCAACATAAGAACCCTCAAGTTTGGCAAATTTTGCAGCCATGAAGGAAACACATCACTCATTTGATTGTAACCGAGATTCAGAAGTTCCAACTTTTGACATTTGATCAAAGACTGTGGAACCTTGCCTTGCAAATGGTTGTGGCTAAGATCCAATGCCTTAAATATCTCACAACCATATTCTGTGAACATATTATTGGATAAGTTTCCATGAAAGTTATTATCTTGCAAATGCAGCACCACGAGTTCACTTGAGTTACCGAAACATTGAGGAACGGTACCATTCAAGCGATTCTTGGAGAGATCAAGAACAAGGAGTCCGATTTTACAAAGTATGGGATCAACTGCTCCAGTTAAGTTATTAGCGTGTAAGTCTAACAAGCGCCATGTCTCCCATGGAGTAACTGAAGGGGATTCTTCCCACCCGTCGATAAAATTGTCAGAAAGATACAATTCAGACATAAAACTTTTCCCTATTGTCCAGAACCATTTGGGAATTTTGCCTGAAATTTTATTGTTGGAAAGATCCAAGTGAGCTAATTCATCTTGCGTTTTCAGGAAATCTGGAAACCGCTTTATGTTTGACGAAGACAACTCCAACACACTAAATTTGGGAAAAGTGACATTCACACCTTCGTTTGGCATTGATATGTTGTTGTGCGACAGATAGAGACATGAGAGGTGGCTAAGTTCTGAGAAGATGCTAAACTCAATGGTTAAATTATTAAAACGAAGATCAAGAGACCACAATGAGCTTGAAGAGATGTTGTCATATTCAAGAGAGGTGAGCTGGTTTTGGTCAAGCCGTAGCTCTTCCAAGAGAGGTATTCTGAATAAGGAAGACGGAATGGCTCCGGCAATTGAGTTGTTTGACAAGTCAAGAGAAGTGAGACCTGCAAGTTTCTCCAATGCATTGGAAGGATCAAAGAGCTTTGTCAATTGGTTACAAGAAAGATCCAAGACCGAGAGACGATTTAGATTCGCCAATGATAATGGAAAGTCTCCTGTTAAAACATTGTACGAAAGACGCAAAAGGCCTAGTTGCCTAAGGTTTCCAAGGGTTGGCGGGATTTCACCGCTAAAACTATTCCATGAAAGATCTAGATCTTCTAGTTGCATGAGATTTCCAAGTGAAAACGGAATATGACCGCTAAAACTATTTTGTGAAAGATCAAAGCGCTTCAGTTTTGTGAGATTTCCAAGTGAAGAGGGAAGTTCCCCATTAAATCTATTCGATGAAAGTTCCAAATCTTCCAGTCGTGTTAAGTTTCCAAGCGAAGAGGGAACTTGACCAACGAAACTACTATCACTAAGTAGCAATTTTTTCAGCTTCACGAGGTTTGTTACTGAATTCAAAATTTGGCTGTCGAAGTTACAGTAGGAAAGATGTAACTCCTCCAATTGCGTGAGGTTTCTAAGTAAACGTGGCAAATCACCTATGAATTCATTGCCATAAAGGTAAAGAACAGTGAGCTTTTTTAGGTTTCCCAAATTAGTTGGAAGCGGACCGTTGAAGCTATTTATTGACAGATCAAGACGTTGGAGTTGAGAAAGGTTCGAAATAGAAGAAGGAATGGTGCCTGAAAGATTACACTCTCCAAGATTCAAGATAGTCAAGGACTTAAGGTTTCCAATTGAATCAGGCAATTTTCCAGAAAGTTCAAAACTGCTGGAAATATCAAAGCGATTTCAAGTTACTGTCAGATCGAAATTCTAGTAGAAAACCAAAAGTACTGGTGGAGGAAAATGGCATATTAATTGCCTCAATCTTAGGCAAGTTGAAATTGGTCCCATTTTCCTTGAAATTTTTAAGCCCAACCCCTATTGAGCCAGAAATAAGCCCAATAATGTTAAAATTACGCTGCCTAGACCCAATCATGCAAGAATTGGACCTGCCCACACCGGAAACACGTGACCCAACCCTCATTTGGCTGGAATTTCAAAACTCAGCCCTACCGACCAAAGGTTTTGAGCCAAACTTCCATGTCCTAAACATAATATCACCGGAATTGAGTGGGTCACTATTATTCCGGCTGGAAACAGCCTCAACATCACCGGAATCATGTGTCCCAGTCCAAACCGCAGCCAAATCGCCAAGCCCAGCCTTAGCCGCGCCGGAAATTGTGAGCCCAGCGCCCCAAACGTTGCCGCGCGAGACCGCCGCTCCCCCTCTGACCACAGCCCACTGTCAAATCGCCCCCATCTCTGCCTTTCCACGTCTGTCAGCGCCCTTTCCACCGTTTTTCCTTCGCGCAGCCTCTAGTCGTAGTTCAGCTCCAGCCCATCACCAATCTACACTCCACGGCACCGCTCCCCACCGATCTGACCTCCAGGTCGTGGATCCAAAAGATTATGGTCGAATTGTAACTCTCGCCAACCCTGAGCACCACCCAGGCTAAATTCGGCGTCGATCGGCCCTCCTCGTAGCAGATATGGGCTTTCCAAGCCCCAATCGGCGTTGATCTGCTAGTCCAGTCGCAGATTGGGTCAATTCTGGTCGAGATCGACCCCTCCGCCGCACGGGTTCTCCTCGCGTTCAGCCACCTTCCCCTTCGGCAGTCTAATATGCCCTTCCTTGTGCGGTTCCCCACGATTCTGGCCAACATCTCCAAGTCTGAAAACCCTAGCCTCTTCTCTGAGAAGATATGCCTCCTTCCCTGGCCTCCGATCCTCATTCGCCCTCAGATTGGCGCCGATTGACTCAGATTTGAGCGATATCGCACCAGATCGCGAAAAATTGCTCGGAGTGTCGTCGGCCTCACGCGATTCTAGATCTCTTCGCATTTTCTCTAAGGTCATTCGTCAGTTTTGACATGCCAAATCTAGTTGCGACGAGCCACTGCCAGAAATATGAAGATCTGAAATCATTCCTACGTTATGTGGCCAAATCTTCATATTCGTTTCCGAAAGCAATCTTTGTGTAAGAAAGTGCTCTGATACCAATTTGATAAGAACCAAGAAAAGATTATTATTGAAAACAAGAATTAGACTTGATTACAAGATAGATTGTCAGACGTTCGAGAGGTCTGCTAGCTCTCCCAAGAGTTTTCCCAGTTTATTCTAATCAATCCCTCCTTTAGTCTCTTTCTTTTCCGTATATACTATTACTAACTAGCTTAACAAACATAATAAACCAACCCTAATAATAAACCACTAACCACTTATTATATTGATTACTAATTACTAACATAATCCTATCAGCAACACCACCCTTAATATTATTATTTATTTAATATATTATTATTTTAAATATTATTATATGTTTTTAAAAATTAAACCACCAAACACAATTTCAGTTTTTTTAAACTGAAAACAATCTCGGAATAAAACTACCAAACGCATTTTTAGAAATGATCCCAAAATGAAAATGAAGTTTTCGTTTTCATTTTCATAAAAAAAATAAAATCATTTTGGAATGAGTTCTAAACGCACCATGTATTTCTATTTATTTTCTCTGCCTCGAATGAGAAATATTTTTTTTTCTCCAAATCTATTTTATCCCCAATACTTACACAATTAACTGTCACGATTAACATGTAATTACACAGTTAGTCTAATGTTATTAGATTAATTACACAATTACACAATTAACATGTTATTAGACTACTTACACAAAAAAAAAAAAAAAAAACACACACACACACAAAACACAATTAACATGAGCATGAGTTTACCGTTGATGAGTTAAGTAATTTGTAGGTCTCTTAAGGGTATAGAAATTGCGATACAAACATACTATAAGCCTCAAGACCAATAATAAAGTAGTCAAACTAAGACCAATAATAATTAAAGCGTCCTGCAAACTGTTTCTCTTTCCAAGAAGTCTCACCATTGACGTAGAAAAACTTGCACAGGCTAGAACTCGCTTTCTTTTAACTTTCCAAGAAGTCTCACCATTGACGTTTACTCGGATATCCACTCACATGCATCCCGTTTTTGGGGGTTTCCCACTGCTAATGAAATTCACTCATGACTCAACTTTTCAGAAGAATATATGGAAAAACTTGCATAGGCTAAAACATGCTTTCTTTTAAATATAGAAATAGTAGATAAATATCCTTTAAAAATGTCTGAATCAAGATTTTTATCTCTAATTATTAATTAATAAATTTTTAGTCAAATAAATATAATAATAAAAGAGTATTAACCAATAATGAGTAGTAAAAATTCAAATCTATATCCTTTTTAAGTATAACTTCGACTATTTTCTCTTTGAAAAAAAAAATATTTATTGCCCGTTTGATTTTTATGTTAAATTACGAAACGTAAAGTGTGCGTTCTATTTAAAAGTCATCGTCATCGTATTGATCATCATAATCATAATCAGCTCAATCTTTTAAGTCATGTTCATTTCACCAATTATAATTTTTAATTTTAGTTTTGTTACAGCTAAAAACATTCATAAAAAGTCACATATAATTTTTTCTGCTACAGTGAAAAATTTTCACATAAAATCACATTTTAACTTAAATTGTGAACTCAAATCTGCAAACTGAACCAGACTTTAATACCACGCAATCGGGCATTAATAATTCTATATGCTTATTTGCTTAGAATAATGCTATAGAGCACTAAGGTACAATCTCTATCTGCCAAGTATAATTATGGCATTAATATTTTGATCGCACAATAAACTTTTTTTTTTCTCCTTCCTGTAGTTAATAAATACGAGAGTTTCTTTTGAGGATTCTCAATTGATAGGTTAATTTTTTATCTTAAATTTAATCAAAATCACATTAAATTTAAAAAATGTATAATATTTAATAGTCAGAAACAAAATCTTTTCAATAGTTTATTTTTTCAAAACTTAATAAAGAGACTTCTATTTAATATATGGGAACCTCTAATATTCAACTTATATCATCCCCTCTGCCCTTTGGTGTCCCCTCCAGTCAAGAATTGGGGCCTCACAATCACTAGCCAATATACTTTTCTCTCGTGACTTTCTTCGTTCATGGTTCGATATTCTAGTGTCCTAGGCGTAGAGGAACCACACAGTGAGCACCGAGACACTTGAGGAGTCTTTTTTTTTTTTTTTTGGGTAAACGACACTTAAGGAGTATTACGTGTATTGAGAATCACACTTATCACATCATTTTTACTCATGAATTTTATACAGTAGGGAAGATTTTATGCATATTATTAGTAAGTTTTTTATTATTTTATTTTCTTAAAAAAAACTTTTAGAATATGAACATGCATTTTCTCTACTAGTAGGTATTGTTGTCTTAGCTATTTAATTAATTTTTAACAATATGATATGTGAGTATCTATATTAAAAATTATAGCACTCTATACAAAATTATTAGTTATTACCAATCATAGATCAAACAACCAAGAAAATAGTTTCTACTTGTATGGAAAAAGTAGAGTTCCCTACCATAAAAATTTCTTTTTTTAGCCATTGATAAAGATCATAGTGTAGGAGTTGCTCATCAACATGGACAAATGATTGGGGTAATGATCCGCAACGCATTAGATTTTAGATGTGTGAAAAAGTACTTTTTCTCTCCTAGAATCAATACCAAACCCACCCTTAATCTCTCTAAAAACCAACTCACCGGCCCAATACCACAAGAGAGACAATTTAGCACATTCCTAAATTCGTCTTTTGAGGGAAATTTGGGACTATGTGGGCCCCCATTGTCGAGGTACCATAGCCAAGAATCAGAGTCAGGGTATGGTTTTGGTTTCGGCTGGAAAGCAGTAGCAATTGGATATGGATGTGGACTAGTGATTGGGCTTATCACTGGATATGTCGTTATTTCGAGGAGACCCAACTGGCTTGTAAGAACTTTTGGTGGCTTTATACTCAGGTGAACATGAATCCACCGGGACAGGACGGTAAAAGGTACTTACATATCTTTTTTTTTATTGTAAGGCAATCACTGCTTTATAACTTATGTAAAGATTTTTATTTTTATTTTTTCTCATTATAAGTACTCCTACTTCTATATTTGTTGAAAATCAAATAAAAAAAATGATGTAAAACTAATGAAACCAGATACAAATGTAACGCTCTCTAAAAAAAGTCCTATCAGTAGGGTATTAATAGAATTCTCCTCATCCATAAACTAGTTGTTTCTTATGCTTTCGTTTATGTCTGCACCTTTGATCATAAAATATTTGTTTTTAATTTATTTTTGATAAAAACATGCTTTCTCTTGCATCTTATATATTCATGGTTTCTTTGAGAGAACCATTACTTGTCTATTGAATTTTAATGGGCTTTTAAAATTTAACCCGTGGTAAGTAAAATGTTATTTTTCTAATTTTAAAGCTGTTTTATCCATTTTATTGGTAGATTATGTAGAATCACAAAATTGACAATTCAGTTTGTTTTCCTTGGTAATTATAAAATATTTTAACAGGTACCTTTAACAAAATCTAAAGCAGAAGCCCATGGTCCAACTCCATTCCATTGCACTTGCTCTTGCAGAACAAGGAGACCAGGAACGGACGAGTGTTGTAATTTTCATAAACCTTGTGGACCAAAGTGACAAACTCGAAAAAGAGTACGGAGCAAGTTTTCCTTTCGGAAAAACCCAAAATAAAAAGCCGTCTTTTTCTTGTTTGCGCCAAACAAGTTCGTTGCCTTCCCTCCAAAAGAATCAGATGGTCTCTCATTTTTTACCCTCATAAGCGTCAAGCAAATCCGTCGTCCTCCAGGGGCATTTCTGTAAATTCGTGCAAAGCCCCATGGCGGAATCGCTGACCTTCAGCCTCCGCATCGTCGCCGTCGACCACTACATGGCGGCGCCGATTCCAGGCCTCGACATCTCCTACAGTAGCTTCCACGGTACCCCACACTACTACTTGAGCTCTGTTTGGTTACCATGATTTTGCTTGAATAGTGATTTTCTTCTTCGTTTTCAGTTTGCGTTTAGGGTTAGGGCCGGCTCAAGGAATTTTGGGGCCTTAAGCAAAAATTGGGGGGTGGGTGTGGGGTTCAAAAATTAATAAAACATCGATTACATCTTCATATTTTATTAAAAAATAATTAAAATATTTGAAATGAATTCAATTAAATAGTTATAAAATATCTACAAAGAAATTTAAGTAATAGTAATTAATAAATTAATAAGAAATGAGCAAGAGAAAATGTTTAGTCTGGGAGAAAAAAGTTTTATGCACAAATAATTTAAAACTTGTTCAACCTAGATAATCTAAAATAGTTTTCTGTTTTTTTTTTTTAGTAAAAATAGATGAAAGTACTATTCTTTAAAATAAAAAAAAATAAGATTATCCTTAATTTTCTACTTAAGAAAGCGTCGTCTGTTTATATTTGAAAAAAAAAAAGTCTTTTGTTTATCTAAATGGTGCTATTTGAAGTGTGCTATTTAAACCATTTAATAATTCGGTTTTTTTATTTTATTTTATTTTATTTTATTTTTTTTAAAGTTGTTTGAAGTTAGAGAACGTTTCAAGAGTACTTCTCCTAATATTTTCTCTGGTTTTTTGGATGATTTATGCTCCATTTTGGACGTTTGAAATCTCTAAAAACAAGGTCTTTTAATGCATAATTAAAAGATTTTTTAAATTTATAATCTTATAATGCCTAAAAAATAGGTTATTGTGGTTTCAAGTTCCAAAAAAGTGGGACCTTAATCAGTACCTAAAAATGTGGGGCCCTAGGCAATTGCTTAAGTTGCCTAGGGGTTGAGCCGGCCCCAAGGGTTAGTCTAGTTTCTGGAATTTGATTGTTTATTGTCTGCAAAATGGGTTGATTTTGTTGATTTTTTTTTTTTCATAAATTAACGGTGCCAAAATTCCTGTAATTCGAAAATTTTGATTTTACGGTTTATTCGCTCCGCGGATTCGAGTTTTCAATTCGAGTTAAGATGTGATATTTTCTTAAAATTTTTAACTGTAGCAGAAAAAGTTAAATGTGACGTTTTCTGATAGTTTTTTACTCTAAAAATCTAGAATTAAAAACTCGAATTAGTGAAATAAATGGGGGCCTTTATCTTTGAAAGTCTGATTTCCTTTTTGAATCTTTTTTTATTAGGCGGGAAAGTGAATGAGGTTCCTGTTATAAGAATATACGGCTCGACTCCTGCTGGTCAGAAAACTTGCTTGCACGTCCATCGAGTAAGCTTACTTTCTACCTTTTTCATTTCACTGTTATTTAATATTTTGATATTAGATTTTTGCGGTCACATTTTTCAAATGTTTTGATATAAGCGTTAAAATTTTTCTATTTTTTTTCCCCTCAATTTCCATGGTTGATTTGCACGTATGATTTCTGTTCCTTGTGGAATACGCCTTTGTGGCAGCGGTAAAAAATAATTCTTTGGTGTTCTTTGTGCTAATTATTTATAATTATTGATTTTTTGTTTTTTGTTTTTTGTTTTTTTGTTGGGTAGGTTTTTCCATATCTGTATGTGCCATGTGCCGATATTCACTCTCAGGAAGAAGGTATATAGCAGTAGCATCTTTCATGTCTGAGCTAATGTCTAAATGAAGATTGAAATAGATGTTTTTGTCAGAGGGACTTGCAAATTTGCTTCTTCTTCTTCTTCTTCTTCTTCTCTTCTTTCGGGGCATACGCGTCTTTCGGGGCACAAAATAATTTAGGGTTTCTACTATTTTTTGGTTGCATAGGTGATGCATACGCGCATGAAATATCTCTCGCCATGGAGAAAGCCTTAAAGGTAGGAATGCCTCCTTGCATCAGATTGAGTTCTCCTCTTACTCTTGTATTTGTTTTCTATGCTCTTTGTTCTTTTGCTATGCAAATTTTGGATGCTAAAGTACAATGCTTGAAATCTTCCAGCATAAAAGTAAGACAAGCTCGAAACGGCAACATGTTCATGGTTGCAGCCTTGTCCGAGCAAGAAAATTTTATGGTTATCATTCATCAGAGGAGCTCTTTGTGAAGATATTCTTGTATCCTTTTCTTTTGTCCCTTACTCTTTTATGGTCCAAAATAGAATTTTCGAGTACCTTGACAAAATATAAGCTACTACCCCCATGATGTCTCTCGTGCTGCTAATCTCCTTCTGGTATAGATCTTGAATACCATCTCACTTGTATTCCTTTGTTGCTAACCATGCTGCTATGTTGTGGATATCTATAATTCCTTTAGTTATATTCTTTTAGACAACATATCATTTCAGATTCATTTCGGATGGGTAGGGCCCCCCTTTAGTACTTTGTTCGCTCGTTTTAGAAGAAACCATAAAGTTAGAGTTTACAGGAGTACATATATTTTGTCTTTGGTTTGCCTTTACTTATTTATGTTTCCGAGTATGGAATTTATTTATTTATTTATTTTTTACCTTTGATAAGAACAATTTAGAACTGCAGTTGCATGCTTTGCCTAGCGGTTATTCTATGCTGACCTTAAATGTTGAGATCCTCATCCTATGTTTGTGTGTGTATGTGTTTTTTTTTTTAAGTCATTATCGGTGGAGCTTATTCTGGTTCGTAGAGCTATTTTTTTTTTTTTTTTTAATTATAGTAATACTTTCTTTTCAGAGTGGTGGCGTTCTTGATAAATGTTTACAACCACATGAAGCACACATTCCGTTTATTCTTCAATTTCTGGTAAATAGCTTCCAGTGAAATGAAGCATTCATTTGGATTTTTATGCTTTCTGTAAGACTGTAAGAACTTAATATGGTTTCTGTGTTGTCTGGATTAGCTAAATAATCAGTTCTTGAATTTGTTATTAATCAGGAATTATTCCTATTATGATTACATTAGTTCTGTGTTACAAACCCATTAGGTAGAACTCACCCTTGCAACACCGGCTTGCAAGGGGAGGGAACCCAAGGGCTTATAAACCCACTATTTGTCTTATAATCATTTTCATGTGGGACTTTTGGTATCTAACATTCTGTTGCTATTACTTCTTTCTTTTTTTTTTTCTTCATTTTCTTGTCTGATTGCTGTTGTTGCTTTTTACCTCTTTCTTATGATGGGAGCTTTTCATTTCTTAGGTGGACTACAACTTATATGGGATGGGTCATATACATCTGTCTAAAATGAAGTTTCGTCATCCTGTACCAGATGCTTTCTTGCCGAAGAAATCTATTAACACTGAACAAGCTAAAAAGGGCATGGATCCCTTCACATGCGCGCCAACGGATTCTGAGGTCAATATTATCACTTGCCTATACTGGATGGTTTTTGATAAATTTATCAATATTCTTGCTTTTGGTTAGGATTTTTGGAATTTGAACGGAATGATTTTTGTTTCTGTAATGGTTTGAATTCTGTTTCCTCTACTTTGCATTAGGCAGATGTAAGTGGTAGCCCATCTTTTGATTCATATGTTTGGATATCTTCCACGGTTCCAGCTGACTGGATGTGGCCTTCTCCTAGCGATTTTGATGTTTCGTCAAATCCAGAGATCAACTCTATTAAATGTCAAAGTCTTTGTCAACTTGAGGGGGATGCTACAGTAGATGGTTTGTCTAGCTTCTGTCACTACTCCTTACTACATCTGCCTAGGTTACTTTTTTTTTGGGTTAAAGTAATAGATTATTTATGGTTTTGTAGAGATTCTTAATCAGCAGTTTAAAATGTACACATCCTTATCACAAACTCGTACGGACGTGAAAATGGTCCAGTCACTTGTACCAATTTGGGAGGTATACCCGTCATTCATGTCGCTACTAAGATGTGTTGGATTATGTCTTACAATTTTCTGACATTGTTTTTGTGTTTTGGGTATTTTAGGAGGAGTATGAAAGAACTGGTATGCATGAGCTGGAAATACCTTCTGATCCTAGCAAACCACTGCCAGAAGATGTTTTAAGAACTCTCTCACTTGGTCCAGAGTTTATGAACAAATTTGTTGACTTGCATAATGAATTGCATAATGAAGCAGAAAGTCCTTTGTGTTTGACTCCGTTAGAGAAAGATGTAACATCTGTACAGCTGATGACGTCACCAAATGAGGCAAATGCGGTTAGATTTGCCCATGTCCTGAATAATGATGACGGAGAATCTTCAGAGTGCCTTAAAGAACGACGCGTAGTTGGATCTTTATCTTCACAGGAGGAAGATGGTGCAATCCCCTCTGCAGAGAGGGATGCCAATGTTAAATTCTCATTTAACGGTGAACTTCCAGCATCTCAAATGATTGAAGCTTTAGATAAGAAGGTAATCAATCATATTTTTATGCATTTCTATGAGCAAATATGAGAGATATGAAAGAATTATCTTTACTGCACAATTGTGAGGTTTTTACAGAGTACATATAAATACAGAAACTATAAGACTATTCTAGGAAGGTACATAAACGCAAATCACCCTAACTAATTACCCTTTATTCTAGTTTGACTAAATCTTCCTATTTACAGCCCTATGATTCGGTATATTTACTGCTGAATATTCCATTTCCAACACTCCCCCTCAAGCTGGCTTGTAGATATCTTCTATAGCTAGCTTGCCTATTAAGAAACTGCCTCTTGTGAAGTCCTTTAGTGAGTATGTCCTCAGTTTGATGTGTAGTTGGAACATAGGGAATACAAATTAGACCACTCTCAAGTTTTTTCTTAATGAAGTGCTTGTCTACTTCAATATGCTTAGTCCTGTCATGTAGACTGGATTGTGGGCAATCGAAATGGCAGCCTTGTTGTCATAGTAAACTTTCTTGGGCAATGTTATTGAAATCTTCAAATCTTCCAATAGTCTCTTTATCCACATGATTTCACAAATTCCATGTGCTAGTGATCTAAACTCTGCCTCAACACTACTTCGTGCCACCACACTTTGCTTTTTGCTTTGCTAGGAAACAAGATTTCCTCCAACAAAGGTGTAGTATCCTGAAGTTGATCGTCTATCATAAACGCTTTCTGCCCAATCAGCATCTGTAAAGACTTCAACCTGTATCTTGGCACGTTTTTTGAACATCAAACCTTTTCTTGGTGTTCCTTTTAGGTATCTTAGGATTTTTTTAACTGCATCAAAGTGCTCATGTCCTGGAGAGTGCATGAACTTACTCACCATGCTAACCGCAAAAGTTATATTAGGACGAGTGTGTGACAAATAAATGAGTCTTCCTACTAATCGTTGAAACTTCTCTCTTTCAATCACATCTTCGGCCTTAGCAGGATAAAGTTTTAGATTAGCTTCAACAGGTGTTTCAGCAGCTTCGCATCCCAGAAGACCTGTTTCACTAAGTAAATCAAGGATATATTTCCTTTGATCTTGCAAACTCCATGCCGAGGAAGTATTTTAGTGTTCCTAGGTCCTTAATCTCGAAGTCTTCTGCTAGTCTTTTCTCCAACCTTGCCAGTTCTTCAAGATCATCACCTATTAAAATTATGTCATCTACATAAACAATTAGAGCAATAATGTTCCTTTTCTCCGAGTGCTTATAGAATTTGGTATGGTCTGCTTGACTTTGATGAAGACCATAACTCTTTACAGCCCTTCCAAACCGATCAAACCATAGGGGACTGCTTGAGACCGGACATGGACTTCTTAAGTCTATAGACTTTATCTTGGCCAAAGAAACTTTCAAAGCCTGGTGGTAGACACATGAACACTTCTTCTTCCAAGTCTCCATTAAGGAAGGCGTTCTTCACGTCTAACTGATGTAAGGACCAGTTTAAATTTACTGCAAGAGATGATAATACACGGATAGAGTTAATTTTAGCTATAGGAGCAAAAGTCTCTTGGTAATCAATACTGTAGGTCTGAGTAACCTTTGGCTACAAGTCTCGCTTAGTATCTCTCTATGCTACCATCGGCCTTGCACTTTACTGTAAACGCCCATTGACAACCTACAGTTTTTGGTCCCTAGGTAACTCTACAATCTCCCATGTTTCATTTTTGCGTAGAGCATTCATCTCTTCCATTACTGCAAATTTCCATTTTGGATCATCAAGTGCTTCTTGAATATTTCTTGTAACAAACAGATTAGAGATTTTGGATGTAAAGGCTCTATGAGACTGAGAGGGTTTATCATAAGACAAATATTTAGCGATTGGATGATTAGTACAATAGCGTGTGCCTTTCCTAATAGCTACAGGAACATCAAGATCTTCAAAGAATTCAAGAGGAACTTTCGTAGGTAAAACTGATGAATTATCAGGTTGAGAAGGATTCAATTTTACCTGGTGTGTTCATAGGCTCATTACTCGGGTCATCTGATTGATTCAGAACCAAGGGATTAGTAGGTTCTCTACCCTTTTGATGATTCTTTCTCCTAGAGTAAACAAGAAGCTCATAATTGCGTCCCTTAGGATTGGTTGGTGGTATTTCTCCCCCTATCGAAGATTCAACAATGGCTGGCAAAATAGTACTAGGATTAGTAGCATTCCTTTCAAAAAGATTTAAGTTTGTTCCTTGATTAGGTTCAGACTCCACAAGTTTCGCCAAAAGGTCTGGAATGACATCCCAAAAATTTTCTTCCATGCTTTGTTTCTCCCCCTGAAGAAAATTCTTTTGAAAATATGGTTGATTTTTGATGAAAGAAACATCTAAAGTAACAAATCCTCGTAGCAGGATTAAAACACTTATAACCTTTTTTATTTGGAGCATAGCCAATAAAAACACACTTTTCAGCCCTTGGATGTAATTTTGACTGCCCTTTATTAGATAAATGAACATAAGCAGTACAGTCAAACACTTTAAGGGGTAAGTAAGTTTGACTCAATACGAGTTTCAGGAAAAATATTTTTTAGACACCCAAGAGGTGAACTATAATTTAGGACACGAGTAGGCATTCTATTAATTAAGTAGCATGCCGTTAAAACAACGTCTCCCCAAAGAAATTTTGGAACATTCATTGAAAACATAATGGCATGTGAAACTTCAAGTAAATGTTTGTTCTTTCGCTCGGAAATTCCATTTTGTTGGGGTGTATCAACATAACTAGATTGTTGATGAATTCCTTTTTCCTTTAAAAAATTCCCAAGTATTTCTTAATAATATTCGGTGCCATTATCACTGTGAAGAATTCCAATTTTAGTTTGAAACTGGGTTTCAATCATTGCATAGAAATTTTTGAACAAATATTCAACTTCAAATTTTTCACTCATTAGGTAAACCCAACATAAACGAGTATGGTCATCAATGAAGGTTACAAACCATCTTTTTCCAGAAATCATTTTGATCCTTAAAGGACCCCAAACATCACTATGAATTAAGTAAAATGGTTTTGAAGCTTGATAAAACCTTAAAGGATAAAAAGTTCTATGGCTCATTGATAAAATGCAGTTTTCACAATAGAATTGAGAACAATCCAAACCTTTAAATAACATAGGAAACAATTTCTTAAGATAAGGAAAACTAGGGTGTCCTAGCCTATAGTGCCAGAGCATTATTTTATCCTTTATAGGAATAGAACTAATACTACTAAGACCTTGAGCTTTTTTACTCTTAGAGTTGTCCTTTTCAAAATAGTAGAGACCATCTATCATCTTAGCACTGCCAATCTTCTTTCCCGAATTCTAGTCCTGGAACACACAATGAGATTCAAAAAAGATGACACAACAATTAGAGTCTTTTGATAATTTACTAACTGACAATAAGTTACAAGCAAGTTTTGGTACATGAAGGACATATTTTAGAGATAAGGTTTTAGACAAGTGTATTAAACCTTTGCTAGCAATTGGAGAAAAGGACCCATTAGCTATACGGATTTTTCATGACCAGAATAAGGAATATAACTTTGAAACAGATTAGGTAAACTAGTCATATGATTGGAAGCTCCTAAATCAATGATCCAAGGAGTAGAATATGAGAGTAAATGACTAGATAATTCAGAGTTGGATTTTAGCAGCTTTAGAATATGATCAACCTGCTCTTTGCTGAAAGGAACAGGCTCGGCCTCATGTGCAGTAGGTTTACGGGTGAATCTCCCCTCATGTTTCCCCTTCCAATTCGCTGGTAAACCGTGGATCTTCCAGCAAGTCTCACGAGTATGTCGTGGCTTATTGCAATAGTCACACCATACACGGGTCTTCTCATCTGGTTTCCTTGCAGTGTCACGGCTGATATAGGCTTTGGCCGTAGTAAGGGCAGAGTTCTCAACTATTCCCAGAGTATCTAGAGACCTTCTTACCAAGCATGACTAGGCGACAACTCTTCTCTCGATGAACTTTAGAAAAAACTTCTCCAAGAGAGGGCAGGGGTTGTCGCCCGATGATCCTTGCCCTAACCTCATTAAATTTCACATTTAAACCAATCAAGAATTTGAAGATCCGGTTATCTTCCACGGTTTTTCTATAGTGATTACAGTCCTCAGTAGATTTCCATTCATAGTCGCTGAATAAGTCTAAATCCTACCACAAACGGTTCAGTCAGTTAAAATACTTTGTAACACTATCCTCACCTTGGCGGATTTCTCCGAGTTTCAGCGTTAATTCAAACACTTGGGACTGATTTCCCAAATCTGAGTACATTTGGTTGATATTGTCCCAAAGCTCCTTGGCAGTGTGATAACACATGTAGTTCGACCTGATATCCTCCTCCATAAAATTCCCCAGCCATGTCATTACCATAGATTTCTCAGCGTCCCAAGTAGGATAGGATGGATCGGTAGCAGCCGGTTCTTTCTTCTCCCTAGTCAGATAACCGATCTTCCCTTTGCCACGAATATACATTCTAATAGACTGTGACCAGCGTAAAAAATTTTCTCCATTCAATTGGTAGTGATTTGAATAGAGTGAGAGTCGTGATTAGAAACATGGAGCCTGCCAGGATTTTCTTGAGTTTGGGAAGGAGTTGGCTGGTTTACTGGTATGTTTGTTGACTCAGTAGTGTCAGACATGGTTGAAGAAGGGAATGATTGAAGAAGGGAATTTCTAGTTTTCGAATAGGGGTTGGCGGCTAGGGGTGTCCATCTCAAAAGCTTAAGCTGATAGGAGGCGGCCCAATAATATTTTTATACTTTAACCCTCACCCTCAAGTGTGGGCTGGACAATACGCAATCGTGTGAGTAAATTAATTGAAAAGCCCAACACGTGAATATTTAAGCATGAGATATATTAAAGACCCAACACATGATGACAATTTAAATGAGAATAAAGAGTGAAATTATGGAAGTTTGAACTCAAGACCTCCCGCTTTGATACTATACGAGCAAATATGAGAGATATGAAAGAATTATCTTTAATGCACAATTGTGAGGTTTTACAGAGTACATATAA